ATGTCAGCAAAATCGAAGACGTTAAAATAATGATTTTTTAAAATTGGTGCTCAATAAGATCCAAACTTCAAAGAACTTAGTTCGCCTGTAAAAATATAATAATTTAACTATGTGTTATGCCATATATAAATTATTATATATTTACAGACAATAGCTCCAAGGAAAAGTGTGAGATGACAGAAGTTAAGCAACGCAGAAGATATTTCAACAAGGATGGGTGACCAGATTTATATGTTTCATTCTTAGTATTTCAGATAAAATATTAATAATAATTTCTAACTCCTTCAAAATTATTCACAGAAATAAACGAAACAGTACTTAATTTCAGCTAACCTATAATACTCAAATTTAGCTTAATTAATTTTTTGAATTTTGCAACTTCACTTGAGTGAACTCATGAGTGTGCTCAGATGAGCATATACTCATAAATATACTCACTAAGTATATATTCTTTGAGTACGTTTATGAGTATGTACTCTTTGAGAATATTTATAAGTATGTACTTTTTGAGAATGTTCATGAGTATATTCAATAAAAATGTTACATGAGAAGAATGTTGCATGTGACATGTTGCCTTCTCATTTGAGTATGCTCATGAGTTTACTCAATGAGCTTAATACATGTCACATAGGAATGTGCTCACTGAGCATGCTCAAGAAGGTACCGTAAGCGCATCACTGAAATGTATGAAAATGAGCACATTCTCACAAAGGCTAATAGGCTCACAAATAATGTGCTCTGAGCATGCTCATTGTATGTTCGGGAGGTTAAATGTTTCTATTTGATGCATCAAAGTGATGCGCATTTGGTGATTCTGGACGGAATTAATTATGACTCAAAAATGTAATGATTCAAAAATTACAATCTTAGTTCAAATATCTTGTCACACTCAAAATTAGACGTTCCCATATTTCTTCTTTGTGTATCAAGCCTTTGATCACTATAATCACATGTTAACACAGTCAAGTAGCGAAACTATTTAATTAGTACCGAATTCAAAAGACTTCTTGCTGTCATCAAATATTGTAATTGAACATTTGCTGCGTAATTATTAGCCTTATTAATCATTTTCTGAAAATCAATAGCACTCGGCAATAGAAATCCAACTAATTATCAAAAACCACATTCAATGTATTACACTAATTAGATTTACAACTAATGAGACAAAGTCAATCACCATAGAAATGAAGAAGAAATGCATTTTTGCTGATTATAAAGCTTTTTGCTTTGTAATTATTAGGAATCGTTGTTCAAGGCTGTCTTTTGAAATATTAATGCTTACTAATTTATTTTAATCATGTTGCTATGCTGGCTCTGTCACCTAGGACTGAAATATAGACTTATCAGTCAAATTACCACAAAGACTTGAAGGGTTGAACCTTTTTCAAGTAGTTGAATAAATATTTAATATATGTCTGTGAAGGACGCGGAGGCAAGTTGTCAGGGAGTGATGGAGCTGTGCCTGAATTACGTGTAAGGGGTATATTCAGTAATAGGAAGTGGGACGAAAATATTTGAATGCGAGACGTAAATGGACGTAATATGGACTTAATTCAGACCAAGTTTCACCACTCACTGACAACTTGCTCCCCTGTTTAGTCCAAAAATGCAATAGCTTAATCTACGACGCAACTTGGCAGCCATATAAAGTTGTTAATTTAAGTCTTGAAATTAATTTTATTTCTTTGATGTGATGCCAAAAGATGCATTTAAACAGAAAGACTGCGGTTCTGATCAACAATATACTCAGTTGCACCACATCTTAATGACCTATAAGTTCAATTAAACCAATGTTATTTACCACATTGTAATACAAAACCACATCCTTACAATTACCGAAATAATCAATCAAACTACATCAAAGACATTCCCGTCTCACAATTAGCAAGTGTCTCAAAATATTTTGCAAAATTCTGACCTTGAATACACAAAAATAAAAAATAATAATCTTTACATAAAACAGAAAGGAATTAATTTTCATTCCCACACATCTAGAGCATTTCATGATTAATTCCATTGTTATATATCCTTGTAATATTTTTTGATATATAATTCACATGATAAAGAATATAAATGAACGTACTTAGCTAGCGATTGCTCTTTCCTTTTCATATGTTTTTCTCCATTCTCAAGTGATATGATTCACTTAATTACTTTTGAGGTTACGTATAAGGAATTATTTTATGTGTGTATCCCGATCGGCACACATTTAAGTGTCTTGCTTGTGGAATAGGCAAGGCGTGGAAACTATCCCAAATATCCCATTTATCCCATATATCCCAAAAATATTCCAAATAATCCCTGAGCCTGTATGCATTAGAATTGAGATATCCCAACGTATCCTTAGTGTATTGGACGTGTAATTTAGGATATGATGGGATATCTCAATTCTAATGCATACAGGCTCAGGGATTATTTGGAATATTTTTGGGATATATGGGATAAATGGGATATTTGGGATAGTTTCCACGCCTTGGGAATAGGTAAGGCGCTTGACTCAAAATTGGTATGATAACTCGAAGATCGTCGGTTCGAATCCAGCCATTTCCAAATTTGATCTTTTTCAGAAGTTTAGATACTTAGTGTACGAGATCAAGCCATAATTGGGCATTTGGGCAACGTTGGATTAAGGAACGGATCAGGAACTTAAAGTGAAGCGGGAGAAATAGGAACAAGAGCTACAAGATTACCTAATGATGGAATCCTATCAACTCGGTTGCCGTTTCAATGATTTTTAATGTGTGCCGATCGGGTTTGTCTTTGTATAGGAAAAAAAATGCGCCATTTCTGAATGAAAGCAAAAGAAATAGAAATGAAAAATATGGAATTAAGTAAAAATGATGAAGAGCCAATGTGGATAAGAATTAAACAAAAGAGAACATTAGAGGCGCTTTTATAAATTACGTTTTGAACATTTTTGATAGTTTTGATCTGTTTCAAATCCTTGAATTGATCACAATTGACATTGAAGCCTCTCGTCTGAAGTAGTCTAGTTTAGTTCGCGGTTTAAGCTCTAATGATATTATGTATTCGTTAAGACCAGAGCTCGAAGTCGATAGTGTTGGAGTTGACTAGACTCAACTCATAACCAAGTCGACTTCTTCAAATAAAAAAATTACCGAAAAATTACTCCGAAATGACTCAAGTCGAGTTGATTCCGAGAAAATGAAGTCGACTCGAGTTGACTTCGTGCTCTGGTTAAGACAAAACATAAATTACACACCTTTGATAATTCTGACCTACTCTTGACCTACTAGGCCTTTACTTTACTCGCATTTGTTATAAATCATCACCAAACCAAACAAATTCACTCAAAGAATCAACAAAATTCTCAAAGAAAATGCACAAAAAATAAAAATTCAGGCATAAGAAATTGAAATCTAGCAAACAAAAAAAAATTAATTAGAAAATTTAATTGAAATTATAAGTATTGCCACGAGAGCATTGAGTAGGAGTAAGAATAAAAGTGAGGAGTAAAATTAAATAATAAAAAAAAATTGTACAGGAAAAATCAAGGAAGGAAGAAGGTGGAACGAGCGGCAGTAGAACTTCGCTAAATTTAATTATTTTGAATTGAAACATTAATGAAAATTGCTCGTTGTTTCTATAGCACATAGAATGTATATATATAAAGCCAATGGCTCCTCAGTGGTACACTTAGTCTCTATAAGCACACAATAGCAATTTAACAGCAACAATAACAATATACTGATGAAAATAAAAGGAAAACAAAAAAAGGAATAAAAGCTGAGCTGTTGAAGTAAACACGTAGAACTATAAGCACACATATAGACGAGCGAAAAGCACATACAGAAGCTTTAATTATTTTTCTGTATCACACAAAAAAATAAGAAAAAGAGAGAGACGAGATATAATAGATACAATAACGAGAAAGATATCTCTTCGAATTGTTCCTGCATGCGACGAGCCGTGAAATGAAATCTTTTTCTTTGCTTTCTTCAATTCTCTTCCTGCAAGGGGTTATTTGGAAATGATGTCCGACATTTAAAAAGACAATTAAAGAGAGGGTAACAAATGGGTAGAGGTGAAAATATTTGTTGATGAATTAGGGGCTGTTCACTTATTACGTAACGCGAAAAAATGACTTTTTAGACCCCCCCCCCCCCTCCCTCGTAACAAAATTTGTATGAAAAAAAAATTTCCTTGTTTGAACCGTAAAAAAATCTTAGACCCCCCTCCCCCCCTAAAAGCGTTACGTAATAAGTGAATGGCCCCTTACTTGCTTTTGTTAAATTGAGTGCCTTTTTATAAGTTGATAAGGCTCTTAAGGGCGATTCCGATCACAATTCTGGACCAATGTTTGTGGGCTACCTTTGATATAATTACATAGAATTAAGGACACATGTTGTTTTTTGTTCGTTGACCTTACAGATCAATTGTGATCCATGACCTCCATCAGATGCCGCCTAAAACTGGCTACCGCTTGCCAATTTCCTATCCCAAATTCAAAACTGTCTCTATCAATAACCTCTTTCCATGAGTTCTTTGGCCTTCAACGTGCTCTTTTAAGCATAAAGAAGACTTAATGTTGCCCTATAAGGCAGTCCCTATTTTTGTGACGTAATTTATGAACAACCCAAATTCACATTCATTTCTTTCCTCTCCTTTCATTTCGATTTTGGTCCATTATAGCTCACCGTCGACTGAAAGAAGCTTTTCAACTTTAAGAAAAATACTGCAATTGGAAACTTGAGAAAAGAATAAGAAGTAAGGATGCAAAGGGAGTGAAATGGAAAGATGCTATTAATTAATTTGCTTCATTTTGTAGTTCCTGCTTTGCTCTTACTGATGGGATTTTTAAAAAATGTCATTTGATGGAGGAAATTGAGAAAGGGAAAGCTTGTGCTGCAAATGAGGAAAAGTGAAAACTCACTAATTTTCCGCTTTCTGCTTCATTTTGTAGTTTATGTGATTTTTGAGCCAAATATTGGAAGATTAAGATTGTTTATTTTAAAATATTTGATGAATAATTGAAACATGTTATAATGAAATGAGTTATATGCAGCACTGCTAGAGTGCCTTATCGTACTTCTATGAATAACATAAAGGATTAAGTGAATAATTGTAAATATCGACTCCTGTCATTTTAAAACTTTTCATTTAAAAAGCTTTCTTAATGCAACCGCAGCACCTCCTAATGCAAGACCAACTGGTCCACCCAATGAGCTTACTCCTAAAATTGCCATGTCCCTTTCATTCAATCTTCTTCCTTGCTGTCTTCGATTGACAGCATCCTGAATTTCTTTCTTTTCTTGCTCTGCTCGTCTCTTGTCCTCTTCTGCACGACGCTGAGCTGCTTCAGCTCTTTCTTTATCTTTTCTTGCTTGTTCAGCTTGATCTTGGGCTTGCTTTCGGGCAAATTCTGCTTCTCTAGCCAGTTGTATTTTCTCTTGTTTCTCCTGTTCTGCTTTCTTTGTTTCTTCTTCTGCTCGCTTTTATGCTTTTAAAGCTTCTTCAGCTTTCTTGGTTTCTTCCAGTTTGGCTTTTTCAGCTTGTTCTGCTTGCACTTTTGCTACTTTTTCTGCTTCCTCTGCCTTTATTCTTTCTTTTTCAGCTTTTTTTGCATCTGCTTCTGCTTGTCTTTTGGCACTCTCAGCTTCCAACTTCTCTTGATTCTTTTTTATAATATTCAATTGATATTGCTTCCATTCCTCAAAGATCTTTCCAATTTGTTCTTTTAATTTATCACCAAACTTTTGTTCGTGCTCTTGTGTTCCCATCTTTTTTGCGTTCTTAAACATATCCAATGCCACTATCTTACTTCCTTCGTGAATAACAGAGATATGACGTTCATCCATCAATTCTTTTTCATTGCTGATTCTTGCATTATATTCATTGATGCATTTTTCTATCAAGATGTTCATTGAGCTATCAATTGTTGCATCATAAACGTTTTGAACTTTCAAGATATCATTCGATTGAAAAAGCTTGAAGTAAGTTTCAATGTGTGTCTTATATTCAGAGCATGTAAGCTCGACTGCATTGATTTTCTTCAAAACTAGGTTTTTGGGAAGTAAGATTTGCTCAACAAAACTTTTAAGTTCCTTTTTAAAAAGTGGATCCATTTTTGCACATGATCCGTCATAATTTTTGGCCGATGCAACTTCAATTCCAGGATATGGAAGTAAGCAGCAGTTGATTTGATCATATGACTTTGAAATGGATTGACGAACTTCCTGTAATTCAGGTTTGTGGTCTTTTTGGACTTTAAGGACGTCTTTTAGAAAATAATTTCCACCCGTAAGCCCGAATTCGAATTCATCTGGATTTCCCCAATCTCTAATGAGAAAAGTTAACTTTTGAAATGGTCTTTCAGTGGTCTTTTTTGAGTCAAGTGCAGTAAAAGTTGCAAATTCTGTAGCATATCGTAAATATTGCAATTGATCTTCTTGAATGAATTTATTGAGATTTAATATCTGAACTGAAGACACCAATGTTCCGAGACCAAAGATTCTTGAATTATCATTTTGAGTCGTTACATTATCGAACAGCCCTTGAGTATCGATAAGAATGATTGCAATTTTCTCACCAGTTCCATCCATCGTGTGAAGAAAAACATCATTCCACATATTAATTCCCGTTGTTACTCGTGTTGTTCCTGAACTCCAGGAGAATCCAAGAAGAGGTTCATTTGCATCGCCCATCCAGTTTTGATTATTATCAAATGATCCAGCGACTTGTTTTGGATTGTTAAGTGATGGATACTGTGACGGAAGAAATAAATTTAAATTAACTGAATAAGTAGAATCTGAATTGAATGGAATTGAGTATCCTAATGGTAGGATCTAGCTACAAATTTTAAAAATAATTTCTGTACTTACATGTGCATACATAAACCTCAAAAAGTAGTCGAGAAGGAAACTTTTGCCTCCACGAAAAGCTCCAATCAGTGACAGAACCATAACTTTTCGATCTTTGATTTCTTCATTGAGCAGAATTTTTTCAAGGTCGGTTGTGTTGACCATAGCTTCCTTTGAATCATCTAACTTCAAAATTGTTATTGGCATGCCATATGGATGTAAATCAGACATGATTGAATTTTTGTAATCGGTTTATGTAAAATAACTTTAGAAAAATACTGCGAAATAATTTAGACTGATGCACACTTGAGAGTTCCAAAATTGCTACTGATTCTTGATGCTTATGCTTCATGTTTATAAACGAAAATAAAATTTTTAGAATTGTTATGCCATGCTTTGGACATTTCATGGTCGAGAAAAGTCACAGTTATGAAAAAACGTCGGGAAATTTGCAAGAGTTTTGAGGATGGAAAGAGGGGTAGGGGGGTTTAATATGACAATAAGGGTGGTGGGTCTAAAACTCTATGATTTGTCCAAATCATGGACATGCTTTAAAAAATTCAACTCATACTAATAACATGACTATAGATGTGATGAGTTAACGACAAATGACTGCATATAACATGATGTGAATATGAATAACATCAATAACTGATTATTTTTGGCAGGAAACAAAAGGGGAATCACTTACTATCAGAAGAATACAGAAGCAGTCTGACTTTTGGTTCTATTTATAAATTTATATATGTCATGAAATTTCAGTTCTAATAAAAATTAATATTAAGCAGCGATTAGTCAAAATATGTTTTGTTTAAAAAGTCTTTTATTTGTCATTGCCAAAAATAATATTTTTATGACTTATTTGTGACTTGTTGTGTCTCGAGAAGTATAATGCGTTTGGTCCAACTTTGTGCCGTTAGCAACCGTTGTGATGCTTTGTTGCCTGCGTTGTATTCAAGTGAAATTCCTTCTAATCTGATAGTCATTTAGTAGCCACATGAAATTCATCCAGATTCCTTAAGGGGCCGTTCACTTATGACGTCCAGGGGGGGGGGGGGGGGGGTCAGACAGAAAAGAACAATATAAATTCCTGGAAATCCATTGTTCGTTTTTGAAAAATGACCGTTATTTTCGGACGTCATAATTGAACGGCCCCTAACCTACATTCTGTCGCTTGGATAAAATAGAACTGGTTGTCACTTAATCATGCGAAAAGCAATTTGGTGCTTCCGATGATGTGCTGAAAAAAAATACCCGCCTGGAAAAAAGTTATCCTGTCAGTTCAACAAGCAATTAAGATGATTAATTAAAGAATCTTCATGTTGTCAATTTTAAAAACATTTATTCACTTTCTTTTCATTCTTTCCTCCATCTTCTTCTTCTTCCTCCTCAGCATAATTTAGATCTTTTTTTTTTACTATCAATATCTTTTTTTTATTAGTATTACTTTACATGTTACAAATTGATGATTTTACAACTATATTTTCTTTTGTTCATATCGAAAACTTAAGTTTAATGCAGCACATTTATAATCTTTTAGATAAATTGGTTTTCTTTTTTTCACAATTCTTGTTATTTTTTGTTCCTTTGTGCATGTCTTGTGAATTGGAAAAAAAGGGAGTCAGCGAACATACAAAAATACTTTCTGGGGTTTTTGGAGTAGGTTGGAGTGGATTGAAGCGCAGTTAAATGTGTATTTAATCAATTTCAAAGTTATATTGAGATCTTTAACAATATGTGTGATGTTTTTTGATTGATTTGAAGGTTATGTATCGGTTCAAACAGATGTTGCTATCAAATCTATTCAGAAATTCTTTTCTGTGTCTATCAAGGTCTTTAATATCTTTTTAAACTCAGCCTATACAAATCTAGTTTTTAGGGTTAAGGAGAGTTTAAATCACATTTATGAGCATGATCCGTGTGAATTCTCAAGACTTTATACTTTTTAGAGCATGATCTCTCCCGAATGGCACAATTCGGTTAATCAAATAGAAATCCGGTGCCTAGTCAGCATGACTCTGGCATGATGCTGGCTTGGATTAATTGCCAGCACCATGCAAGATTCAAACCAACTTTTTGCCGGATTTCTGATCGATTAACCGACTTGTGCTATTCGGATCTATGAAAATTGTGTATGACTCTAGTCTGACCCTAGTCTGACCCTAGTTTGACCTCCTAGTTTTTCTCTAGTCTAACCCTATTAAGGTTTTTAATAAGGGTGCGGCACTGATGAAACGATCGAAAATGATCAAAAATAATCAAAATGTAATTCTTTAGTTCCACATCCTTGGAAATGATCAAAAATGATCAAAATGTAATTTATCAGTTCCGCACCCTTGGTTTTTTATTGAAATTTTATGACATGATTAGTTCAAAAACCTATGATTCAAGTTTCTGAAAACTTAAACTTTCTTCTTTCTGTATCGGTTCCATGTCCTCAACTCTTTCTTCTTTGTTATGTGTTTAATGATTTTCTCGAAGTTTCAGATTAAGAATCATTATTAATCACTGCTCCATAGACATGAGAGGATCTCAACCCCACTCTTATTGAAGAATTTCCAACTTAGTCCTTATTCCAGCAAAACCATAGCATTAGATCTACAAACCTTTATTTACTTCTTCATTTTCTAATCATTTTCACCTTATTTTCACATTACAACACCTTCTTCAATCTCCCCAGTCATCCAAACTGCCCTCATAATCAAACTCTCATCCACACCCACCCTCAAAAGAAAACAAAGAAACAAGAAATAAAAAACTCAATTTTCAATTCAATCTCAAAAAAAGAAAAGAAAAAAATTATCGATAAGAAAAGAATAAAGTTTAAAGAAAAGAAGCAGAGAGTACAAAAAAAAGTAGTCAGGAACGAGAAAATTGATGATGCTTTTATTTCACGAAGATTCGTCTATTTTTTTTAAGTCGAGAGGGTAAAAATTTGTCATTGCTATCAATGCAATGAAGATATACGATGTTTTATATTTAGCTAGGTTAGTGGTGATATCTTGATACATTCAAACGCCCATCCAACCTCTGCTGCTGCTTCTGAACTTGAATCACTTTTTTATGTGCCAAAATAAATTGCACATATTGAGATAACTTATCTCTTGTTCCATTAAAATGTGCTTCCTTTTATAATTGGATGTCAGGATTGTTTTGCTTCATTTTTTTTTTCAACTTTTCTTTTGAGTCCTTTTTGAGTTTCTTTGTTGTTAATGGCTAGGTAGATTGGAAGTGATGATGATAGGAGAAATTGTGCAATATTTTATAGGGTATAGATTCCATTAAATTGGATACGACAGATTTATTTAATTAAATGAATAAGTTATAATACTGACCAGGCACGTAGCCAGGGGGAGGATTTGGGGGACAAATCCCCCTTCGTCTTGAGAAATTTCGTCATTTTTCTAGAGCTTTATAAAAAAAACTTGAAAAAATCCTCAAAGTTTTCCATACAAAAATAAATATTGTCCCCCCGATACTGACAATGGCTAATCAACTGGGCTCTATTGGCTCGGTGAGATGTTGTAGTGGCTTAATTATTGTGACATCAACTTAGTGGTCGTAGTTTCGAGACTCGAGAAGTAATAACTTGACCTGGAGTTAAGTGCTTAATCCCAACCTCAATGGAGAAATTTCTTCAATTTTATAGAAATAAGCCTTAAAAATTGCAAGGCCATGTCTAGCTATGCCATTGGCTCTGTCCCTACGTGACAAAATGATATCACTTCCTCTCTTTTTGACAACAGAAAAATCCAAATTCAGCATCCTAATAGGACTTAAAAATTAAATGAAAGAGACCGTCCAAAAATGAACATAACAGCTTTACATGAATTACTAACAACTTCCCAATTTTTATTTATGAACCTCAAATAAAAATTCCAAACATTATTAAAAATTCCTTTTTTTTTGATCCTTAAATACAATTCCTTCCTTTTCATTAAAAATTCAAATCTGCTCATTTCTAAAATCATGTTTTTCATCTACCTTTTCGCCGTTCTTGAAATTATTTTTGTTTTTAAGCACATTCGTTCATTTAAAAAAAAGGCACATAAACTCAGCTTTACATGTCCATGCTGTTCCTTTAACCTCAAAAATAACGCTTTAAGAGTAAATTCCAATTTATATTTATGTGCTTGCGTTAGATATTATAATTTAAATTCAAAAGGGGGTTTGTACATGTATGATGTCAATTGGTTCGAATTTGAATTTCAGACCCCCTCCCCCCCCCCCCTCGAAAACTCTCTTGTAAAAAAATTCCAATGAAAGTAAAATCAATTTTGTTTAAGGCAGTGTTGTCAAAGCTGTGTGCCACGGCCCTGTTCGGTTTTGGTCATGGCTTACTATCAAGGTGTGCCGTGGTTGATAAAGTTTGCAAAACACTATTTTAAGGTCACATCCCTTACCCTTGAATGATGGACGTCACTCATGAATGACTCCCAATAATATTTTGAACCAAAATTTCTTATTGAACAGCAGACGACAGAGTCATTGATTCCAGTTGAGTATAAATTTTCCCAACGGACGTAAATTTTTCATCATTTTCAATTTTGAAAGTCCCAAAATACTTCAATCTCTCTTTTAGCAGTTCCTTTCCAATAAAAAAAATAAAATAAGAGAAACTCAAAATCAATTTCAATTGATGGATGTTTATAGGATGGCGAAGTAGAAGAAAAGGAACACAAATAAAAAATAATAAAAAAATCTGTGCAGTGTGGAATGAGTGAACTCAATATTGTTGATCATGAAATGAGAAAGAAATCGAAATACTTATTTGCTTTTTAAATCCATAAGAAAGAAATACGTAGATCGTAAGCTATACAAAATGTGGCATTTTATAGCCAATGAAGAAATAAAATTGAATTCTTTTCAATCTCAATTTTCCCAATTGTTTATACTTTTTTACAGTTTCGATTTTCTTCTTAGCACCCAATCGATTCCAATCGATGATGATGATGATAAAAAGCTTAAACATTTTGTTCTTCCTTTCTTTCTCTTTGGTTCTGTTTTGCATTCGTTTGCAAGTCAAATGGGATTTTAAAGATTGTTATGACTGGATGCTTTGTTGGTTTTTATATCGATTATTGTGCAATTATTGAGGAAAAGGGGAGCTGTATTTTAGGAAAGATGAATATTTCTAATGTCTTTAGTTCCTTTTTAGGTCAGGTTTAATTGAAAATTCAGAATATAATGTAACTTATGTATTGCATTCTGCTTTGTAGATGAGGAACACTCGATAGCTGAATGGTAAGAGCGTTAACTTGAAAACCATAGCACGTGAGTTCGATTCTTAATCGGGATTCATTACTCTACCCCGATTAGCACAAGTTGGTTAATCGAATAGGAATCCGGCGTCAAGCTTGAATGACTCTGGTATGGTGCTGGCATCTATTTAAATCCAGCACCATTCCAAAGTCACACCGGCTTGTGGCTTGTGATTTCTGATTGATTAACCGACTTGTGCCATTCGGGTACTTTCTTTTAGCCTGTCATCTAGAGATTCAGATCCTCTATTGTAGATGTTTCACTATTCAGCTGTGTATATGACAGGTTAGCTCTTCATCCTAATTTCAGAGCATATAAGGTTTAAAGGACATTCTCGTGTCATTACTCTATTGTATATACCATTACCGAATTGTCAACATTTTGTATGACGGATTGAGAGATTCTTTTGGTAGGAATCGAACCTATATCCTGCTTATGAAAGTTATTCTGATTCTTGATTGGTTGCTTAATCTTTCTAAGCCAAAAACCTTGATTTTAATTTTAACACGTTTTTTGTCTAATATTCCAGTTGCTGATTGCTCTATATACTGTAGGATACCACAAAAGGTATCCTCAGCAAGCTTTAGCTACATAATTAAAGCTACTCCGAATGGCACAAGTCGGTTAATTAATCAGAAATCCGGAACCAAGCTGGTGTGACTCTGTCATAGTGCTGGATTTAAATGGAAGCCTGCACGATGCTAGAGTCATGTCGGTTTGGTGCTGGATTTCTTGTCAATTAATCGACTTGGGCCATTCGGGTACTCTAAGAAGGACACTCATAAGATACACTGAGTAGCTTGAAAAACTACAAACCAAATCCACAAACGGATGCGCTTCAATCCGAAATTTCACAACAAAAATTTCTTTCCAAAAATTGTTCCTCATTCATGCACCACGAACAAAAGAAGAAAATAACATAAATAAATAAAATAAAGCCATTCTAATTTATATTCAGGATTGATAACTCGAAACTAAATTTAAGTCGACACCTTTTTCGTATTCACACTCTTTTCTTTGTATACTTCACTTCCACAATCTATTTTGCATGCACATACGATGATTGTGATGTTGATAACAATGACGACCCTCTCACACTTTTTTTGCTTAATGGCGTTGCTGCTTTTTGGAAATACGTTTTCAACATTTCTATTTGTCTTATAGCTTCTTTTTCTTTCACACTTATTGTATGTCGTATGTGTCGTTTGAGTTTGGGATGTGTTGTGTGCTCCAAACTGACGTACGTTTCTCCTTGTGTATATTTAATATATTTCAAAATCAAATTGCATTCCATGGCAAAAAAAAAATTGGAAAAAAAAATAAAACAAGGAGATACAGAAAGCTTCTTTGAAACAAAAAAGAAATCACGTACTTATGTCACATTTTTATTTTATTTCTACAACAATGCCTCTGTTAAAGTGTTTAGATGCATAAAAAGTCTTTCTCACATTTTTTCACTTCTTTTTTCTGTTCTTTTTGGGTACAAAAAAATATTTGAGCATTTTTTCCTTTAAAGAATGTTCTGTCTCACGAGAGAGATAAAGTGAATGAAATGGCTGAAAATTCTGTTGAATACGAGACAGTATCCGATCGGCTAACGCTGATTTGTTTTCTATATGGTGGTCAAGAAGATAAGTGACTTGGATATAAGTTTAAGCTGCTCGCCTACCATTTTTTTTAAAAGGCAAACACATGGTAGCTACGTGTCAGCAGCATGGCAACCACAACATGACAGAAACAAGACATTTATTTAAAAATGGCTACCTAGTTCCTACTAGATTCTATCCTGCATGCTATCCACTTGTTCACCATTTAGACGACATATCAGCGTGTCCTGATCGGGTGAATATTTTTTTACATTGTACATTTTCTTTCTTAGACAACAGAAACAAAGCACAAATAAAAAATGAAAAAAATAAAGTATTTACAGCCATCCACTCGAGTATATATGCATTTTTGACTTTAGCACGTAAAGTCAATTTATTTTGTCTCCCTCTCTCTCTCCCGTGTCTGCTGCTTATAGTAAAAGAAAACAATTTATTACTGTAAATAAATCGCACATGATTAATTTTACTTAATGTTCATATCTAAAGCAATTAAATGTGTTTTTTTTCCTCATTTTTTTAGAATGATTTCGCATGTATCATGCTATGGCAGTGATGACCAACATTTGTCCTGCGGCACACTTGTGTAGCCTGAAAAAATTCTAGAAATCCCACGAACTGTATGTCATGTGAAGTCTTGATCAAGGCTTGTCATCAAGATGTGCCGTGGCATAGAAAAGTTTGGCCAGCACTGTGCTATGGTAATGAGATTGCTTCTGTTATGTTGTTTGCTGTCGGGAGAACTTCTAATGGCATTTTCTATCTTTACCCTTCAATGTGTCGTTTGTCGTTTGTTTCCCAAAGGCTCAACTCAGAGTGTCATTTAACAGTATTCTCTGATCGTAAATTAAAAGTGAATGAACAGACATTTAAGACTTTGGTTTGTGGAATTAAAATGCTTGGAAGTGAAGGGATGGGAAAGGAGTAGAACGAAATTACATTTGATAGTTATGGCAGTTAATTAACTATCTTGAAGGTCTTGTCTTTGTGAAGTAGTCTTTGTGATGGCTGTTCTGTCAGCAAAGGTATCAATTTATATGGAATAGTCCATAAAGTAGCTAAAGCCATATCATTAATGATGGCAGTCATGTGGATAGCAACATCACGTTGTCTCGCGGTCAATATGAATCATGATCTCCTTGTGCGCTACCAGAAGTGTGGGCAGGGTAGGGAGATGGAAAAAATTCTAAGACCCCTTTATTACCACAATCATCATGCTTGTTGTTCCTTGAACTCACTTTACAACACAAAATAATATTTAATCTACAGACTGCATCGCATTACCACTGCACGTTCTCAATTAATGTTAAATGCTTGTGTTTTTCATACAAAATAATTTTTTTTATATCCATTCATCCTTCAACATTTTTCATGTCATTAATTTACGTTTGGTTCATGTCATCTATTCAATGTTTCTTGTTCCTTTTTACTTCATAATTATCATTATTTTTATTTACAGAGCTAAATTGCAAGCTTAACATTCTTACCACTTTTACACTTTCTTTTTTATCTCATTTTAAATTTATTCTATTTTATATTTTCATTCTAATTCATTATCATGCTTTGTTATGACATGTCGTACGAATGTTTAATGTCTCAATTCTCTAAAGGAGAACGAAGGAAAGAATAAAGTCATTTTCAACTATATTTCACAGTCACTCGCTTTCTACACTCATTCACAATTCTCATGCAAAAATCATTCATTCATACTCATGCATACGGTATGAATATTTAAATGTTTACTAGCTGCTTGTAGCTGCTTTCTTGATGAATGCAAGAAAGAAGAGAAAAAAAAGCAATTAAAATGAAAGAAGGTTCACTCCTTTCTTAGCTTGTTGACTTTTCATTTACATCACCCAAGATTCACTTTACATTAGTTCTTTTACATAGTTTTCATTTTCATCTTTGTCTTCTTGTGTTTTTCATCTTTTTTTTTTCTATGAATGAGTCAAGGCATTCCTTCTTGTCGAGATGTAGTTAAACAGTATCAGAGGTGGAGAATTGGATTTTGTCATTTAAGAACCCAGTGATTAGCTTACTTTTAAATGTTGTTGATGGATTAGCAAAGGTCTGTTTCTAAGCATTTACTACAAGGCAGTGATTCGCAAACTTTACTTCACGGTATTCTATTGTGTCACCAAAAGCTTCAAATGTCTTTCACTGGACAAGCTACGATCCAAAAAGTTTGAGAACCACTGCTTTAGGATGCATACATATGGCTAATCTTAACTAAAGAAACTGACCCCAGAGGAGATTGGTGCTTTTGTGTCAAAAGCACTTGCTCCATATCTTAACATTGCAAACATATCAGTCATATGGACAATTTACTTAGAACCAGGGGCGTTGCCAGGAATTTGAAGAGGGGGGAACAAAAAATTTAAGGGGGGGTGGGTTATTTTTGTGATTTTTTCATAAAAACCCTAGCAAAATAAAGAAATTTCTGTTTACCATATGAACAAGATTTATTTGTTCTTCTTATATGATCACCATTATGGTTAAGTTCTAGCAAAGGTTTTTAGCATCAAAACCCCTGGCAATATTGAAATTTTCAATGTTTGTCTCAAAATCATCATTAAACAACCTATAAAAACCTGCTGATCATGTTTAAGAGCCGGTTGCGCTAGATACACTAGGATAAACCCTACTAAAATCTAGTCAAATAAATTTATAGCTAGATTATGACCTAAGGTTTACATTAGGGTACATTGAACAACCTTTAGCTTCTACTTTAAGAAGGTTCTATTAGAGCAACAATCTTCAATTCTCTTTTAAGTATCGTTATGGTCGTAAATTAATCACTATGCCATAGGAACTTGAAAAGATAGTTTTCGAAAGGCAATCGGTGTAAAAATCGCTGTTAATCTAGCGTCCAGTTCAGCATGAACGCCAGATTGACAGCAATTTTACTTCATGTGTCTTTTGGGGTTGCTTTCATCTTCAATAGACATTGCTGCTCAGCATCGTTGTCAATTCAGCTAAGATTCTTAAGAACATTCTAGCTCAAACTGATTTCTCTTGAATTAGCTTTATTATGTCTTTTTATAAATAATCTCATTCCACTATCAAGTCCAATTTTCCACCTCTGAACATATTCATCTACAACTGCTGTTGTTGCTGTTATTTATTCATTTTTGTTTCATTTTTTTTTATACCATTTAACAATGCATAAATTAATGTATATATGTATATTCATAATATGTAATATAATAATTAAATTAATTCGAATAATCATAATGGCTATAAAAATCATGCTAAACATACAACGCGTAAGACAAAACGTTGATGTAAAAATAATTGAATGAAAGCAATCGTGAGTAATGAAATCTGATTATTTATATCTAATACATTTGATCGTACACTGGATGCTAATGCGCTTGCTGCCGTCTCTAAACATTGTCGATATTCGCGATAATCAATTCTCGTAATTGCACAATAATGATTCAATGAACAGACGTTATCGCAGATTCTTGTTGGATATCGTACTGAGTTCGCACGATAGTATCTATTTGTTGTTTGGTTTGCATGTGGAGGAAATAGGAAGAAATAGAAAAGAAAAAAAATTAGTAAAATGAGAAAGAAAATTGAATTTATTTAGTATAAGATTGAATCATTATGTTGATTTTGCCTAATTTATAATAACGGTCTAGATTCCCTTTAGCTCACCCTACATTTTATGCCTTTGCTTGCTGTATAATTTAGAATACGAAATAATGGAAATTTTTTCAACATTTATTTCCCGAGAAGGAAAATTTATTACACGCCGGAATGGATTTTTCGTGTTGCTTTTCATTCGAAAATTATGCTAGAAACATTTTCGATGGTTCCACTTTTCTTGCAAGATGCAATTTAAATCCTCAAATTAGAAAGAATGTTTTAAGAGCCTTTTTATATTCATTTCGTGATCATTTTGCTTCATTATTATTAGGATATTAAAATTTTTGGGCTAATAACTTGTTAGAATTAGGATGAATTTCATGATTTTGGGGGATCTCAGTGACATAGCAAAGAAAAATATCGAAAAGTTAGCTCTCCTTTTTTTCATTCCTCTTAAAAGCGTTACTTAATAAATGAATGGCTCCATTAAGGGTTTTGACTATCAGGCGCGTAGCCAGGAGGGTCTTACCCCCCCCCCCCCCCCCCCTCACAAGTTTTTAACCATAGCAAGAGCACGGCAGGCATAAAACCCTTAAGAAGAGGACAAGACCCTCCTGGCTAGACGCCTGCTGCCTATTATAAATCTATAAAAATATTGACAATGAAGGTTAGCTACGATAAGACATGCATTCAATCAGTCAAATATAATTCAGATATTCTCAAAGACATCCAAAACTTCACAAAATTTTCAGATTTGTGTTTAAATTTTAAGTCACATTTGAATGAGATTTAAGCTATCTTTAACTGTCTATGATTCTTTTTGTGACCAAACAACTTCAATCATAAATCAAACTGAAAAGAAGGGGCTTGGGGGTGACTGAAATTGTGACATAAACTGGCTTGTGAATGTAGCCAAGCTCGAGACCTAATGATATAAACTGCTCCTTATGTTGCTTTGTACATGTTGATTTTGAGAATGATTGGATGTAAACCTCACTATCCCCAGCCTGAATGTGGTACTGCCACTCTACAAGCAAGGTTGTTTGGATAGGATTTTGGTCTTTCTTTAAAGTATATATTCGGGCACAGGGCTCGGTCAACAGCGATGCATTTAGCAGTATCAAAGGATACCACGAAAAGTATGCACTTGACATTTGGTAAGCTTCGGAATCAGCCTTCGGCTTTCCCAATCCTTCAATGATATAAACTACTTGCTACAATCGCGGTTGACCAAGAACTCTCTATCGACTTTTAAGGTTGATGCGTAAGAAAGTGCTTGAAGCTTATCGAAATGCTACATTTTGGCAAGAGACGCTACAACTAAAATCACATTGAGTTCAGTCACTTATGCTTCTATATCAGTGGTTCTCAAACTGTGTGCCAGGAAAGAATTTGAAGACTCAATATGACGACTTATTTTCATTGTTGATGACTTCAAGAAGCTCATGTAAATCATTTAGTATGCTATGAGACTATTCGGACGTGCCGTAAAAAATTTCAATTAGAAAAGTGTGTCGTGGACTGAAAAAGTTTAAGAACTTTATTAATCCTTTGATATAAAAATATCAGAACCCACACTTGATGATGTCATGCCCCAAACATAGTTTGATTAACTTGTATTGACGTCAATTTCAAAATGTAGCTGTCGAAAAAGTTTTGCTTAAATTCCAGTCTCTGTGAGAACATTGATCCTTAAATAGAACATTAAATGCTAAATTCAATTATTTCATTAATAAACTTTAAAAGAATCCTAATCAAAATTTGATTTTTGTCTGTTGCTGTCTTGTAACATGAGAATTTTATATCCTACGTAAAACAACAGTCACTGTTGACAAATAAGAGTGTACTGCCCACACTCAGGGGCGTAGCCAGAAAATTTTTAAGGGGGGGGCCCATTTTCGAAAATTAAAAAAATTGTTATTTTGTATCCTTAAATCTATATTCATTCTTCATAAGTTTAAATATTTAATTCATTATTCATACATTAAATTTAATTTTTCGTGCTGAATTTGACATTTCTTTCATCACTTCCTTTACATTAACTGGTTCTTCTCTATAAATACTTAATAAAACAATTATCAGATTTTCGTAGGGGGGGCCCGGGCCCCCTATGGCCCCCCCCTGGCTACGCCCCTGCCCACACTTATAGCAAGAATTCAACCCTCCAATAAATTTTAATGAGATCTTTCATTATTCAAAGACCATAAAATCAAGGAACATAAAAATTATCCTCGTTTCATTCACCAGCACATCTGCAATTCCAATTAAGGTGTTTTTACAAAATGATTAAAAGAAAATAAATTACACATTTTTTTTCGAAGCTATAAATAAGTTAGCATTGATATGCATAGCGTGTGTTATTCTTTTTATGCTACAAATTAATCTCCTTAAATTATTCCTTACTGTTTATTCAATAATATCAAGTGAGCTTAATGAATGATATTTGTATGGCATACATACATACATACATATGTATAAGAAGCATAAGTAAAAACAACACTAGATAATAGATTGAGATGTTTTCTTTTCTCCCTTCCAAATCTCGACATTTCACATTCTCGTGGGGTCATGAAAATTAATTGCAATTGCTTCCTATACACATGGACGTACATCCATTAAATCTGTGTATTTATGTATATCGACAATATAACATGAAAAATGTGTGAATGTGCATAATGAACGGTAAATGTTGTTCGGGTTAAAAGAAATCGACATACAAATATGGATGTACTTAAGATGTAGCAGGGAAAAAAAAGAAATGTTTCATTTCACAATCATAAGATGAGCATAATGGAGAATTTAAGAAGAATGTATTGATATTGTACAAATATATTCCCTCAACATATTCAGAGAATTCTTAAAACGAAGAAAATCAGTCGATTCAGGAAAAAAAATATTGGGTGAGCCAAGGGGGTGCTTAAATTATTGTTGTCATCAAATTTAAATCTTCCTATGGTCTTTATGGACCTTTAAATTCTTCGTTTGTTGTTGGACTGTCCAAGCTTTGGTCAATAGTCTAGCGTACCTTATTTGGTTGTAATAGGCATTTAATAAGAGTATACAAGGCTTAAAAAAGGAATCATACACTTATGTCAATCTTATCCATGATTTATTAAGACCAAGAAAGCAGAAGGAAGTGAGGGTTATTCAATTATGGCGTGCGTCAAAAAACATGATTTTAAGACCTACCCTTCTGTCAAAAAGTAACATGGAAAGAAATATTTGCTTTGTTTAAGCTGTCACAAAATCCTTGATCCCCCTAAATCTCAGAAAAAATAAGTAATTGAAAATCCCAAATTTGATGTATTACAAGTGATCAGTTCTTAATCGTGTAAGCATGATTCAGTTTCTTCTACAACTTTTAAAGCTGCCCACCAGTGTTCGATTATTCAATATGCACAAAATCTATTTTCCAGAGGGCGAAGTCGACTCGAAATTTGTATGAAGTCGAGTGAACTCAAGTCGACTTTTCCATACAAAATCCGAGTCGACTTCGCCCTCTGCTATTTTCTGTCTTGATCTCAATCATTTGAGCATAAAAAGACCTAATCTCTCACAAATAAGCACAAATTTGTAAATTTTGAGATTCGAACTGTCGACCTGCAATCTATGAACATCAAATTTAAGCTGAGTATCTTATCAAATCCTCCACAATAGCACTTTATTGCTTAGAAACCAATTAAACTTAATGCAAATTTCAATTCAATCTACACCAATGAGTTATCTCAAGAAATTCTAAGAAATCCACTCGACTCATTGGCGCACTCAAAGACAAAAAAATAATTCACTCAATACACATTTTTACCATTGAGCAAAAAAAAACAAGCTCTAAGTACAAGCCCCAAAAGAAAGATTTATTTTATTTATTTGGATTCGATTGAGTAATGTACAAACATGCTTCCGTTTTTAATCGGAATTTATTGCTTTGGCAAGCCATTCAACATTCTTATATACTCGTATAATATAAACACTTATATTTGTACTCACAATCGTACTTTGGGGGTTTGGAATGAATGGAAAAAACAAGCAATAAGGAGCATTTGTAGAAGAAAATGTGCAGTATTTACCGGCTTTGGTCTATTGAATGGCTTACGGTCAATGCTTTGGGAATTATAGACGAAGCGGATGAATTAGAATCAGAAGAGAAAAAGAAAGGTTAAGAAGATACCGAAATAATATCCAAAAGCTTTTCTCTCTCAATTTTGTTGTTGCTTTCTTTTTATTTCATGTTGAGTAAATCTATCCAAGTTTTATTTTAAAGCTCCATTCATTTATTGTTTGTTGCTGTACATAGTCTAAGCATTTATCAAAATGTGTAAGGATCTTTGTCTACACATTCTATCACTATTGAGGCAAATGGCATACAGCAGTTGTAATAAAATGTAGAGTGACACTTTGTTGGATCTAGTTCGTGTTGAATGTGTATAAGGGTTTGGACGGAATTTTTGGGGATAAATTCAAAATATGAAGAACTTAAGTTTTATAATGGCGAACTCCTGCAGATGCGGGGACTCAACTCAGTTGAGTCAACTGTAGAAGATGGAGGTGAAATGCGTTTCATACCTAAAGAGGATGGATTGAAACGTAGCCTCAAGATTTAATGATTTATTGAACAATCATCCGCCAAGCTGTTATCCCCCTGGCCCTTATTCACAACAAGCGAGACGTCAATCCCCAAAACAAACCCAAAATAGCTTCATTATCCCCAAGTCACCCTCAAACTGTCCAAACCCACATAAACACATTTATATACAGCACCATCAACATCAGAAAAGGAATATAAAACTTACTTTGAGAACAAAATATCTTCAGGATTTGTAAATCTGTCAGCCAAGTTGTGTAGCGACACTGCAGATATTTCGTTTCGGGATAATTCACCCAGACCATGATAGTATGTTGTCAAGTTGTATTCTGATACCCATTGTGGCTTATCCACGTCTACATCCCTATTTGCTGCTTCTAAATCCAAATAATATTGAGTATAATCTAAGACCTGAAAATAGAATGAAAGAAAAAGAGAGATTTTGCTTTAATGAGTTTTTATGCTAATATAAATTTTATGCAAAGATTAAGTTCTTATTTTAATGGAAAACGAAGACGAACGGAAAACATTTCTCGCCAATGTTCGTAATTGGAAGTTATTTTTGGATACATTCTTGAGTGGATTTAAAAGCTTTTCTTAACGTTTGAGTTATGTTTAAGTTGAAGAGTCTCACATTGATTTGTTGTCAGGGCTGGGAACAGATAAATCGTATCTAGCGACTGTTAGCCTTATGTTGTGGATTAAATGTATCCAATTTATGAGTGATGATAAAACGGAGGATCTTGTCTGGTCAACGTGCATATTTTTCAATCCAACACTTACTTGCTTCCAAAAGAATCTTAAGACGAGCCAAATTTGAGATGTATAAGACACTAATTAGACCTGTAGTGATGTATGGTTCAGAGTCATGGAACATGACTTCGAACGATGAGTTTGCAATTGGCGTCTTCGAGAGTAAGGTTCTGAGAACAATACTTGGACCAAAAAAGGAAGGAGACTTTTTTAAGAGCAGGAGCAACGCAGAACTATATCAGTTATTCAAGGAAACTGATATTGTGAAGCGGATCAAGGTCAACAGACTACGTTGGGCTGGTCATATTATCAGGAGACCAGAAGAAGCTCCAATTAACAAAATATTTAAGTCTCATTTTGTAGACGGAAAGAGAATGCGCGGACGACCAAAGAATTCCTGGAAGGAAGCTGTTGACAGAGATAGCATAGCATTTGGTATTGGAGATTGGCAGCGATGTATGTATGTATGTATGTAATTTATGAGTTTACATTCAAACCTTTGCTTTTTGTTCGTCCTTGAGTTATACAATTGTCTACCGTGATGAAACAAGCTAGTACAACCCTACAAGACTCCACTTGGCAGCCACATTGAGCTTAAAGTTCATACTCACTTTATATCGTTCAGGAACATCACTTCTTCCCTCCATGCCTCTCATAAAAATTATTTTACAAAGCCACAAATATAAATTCATAATTTTCATCTTTTTATGACTCTAAATTCTAATCAACATATTCATTATATTCGAGATTACCCAGAAAACAATTTATTTCTTGTTGCCATAGGACTTCCATTTTTAAATTCAAATTATTATTCATGATCAAACAAAATTAATAAAGAGGAAAAAAGGAAGGGAAAAAAATCATTTTCTATTCATTGAATGTCCTTTTTATATTTTAATAATATATATGGCATATACATTTGTATCATGGTGCCTTTTTTAATACTTTTTTTTTTGTTCATATTTAACGACATTGTCATGGTTATGGAAGAGATGTGATTTGAAATTGAACAATTTGTCATTTTTTTTTTGGTAGATTTGAATTAGATTCATGAAATTATTCATACTGCTGTATCTAAGGGGATCCTATTTAGTATTCTGAATTGCAAGTTTTTCATAAAAAGTTGTTGCAAACTAGTAAAGTATTTAAATAGGTAACCAATGGCTTCTTTTTATGAAATGAACATACTTTTGGAAAATTTCAACGGCTGCTGCTTGGTTTTAGGTATATTATTCATTTAGTCGCGACTGGATTAACATTTTAATGGGAGTCATACTAATGACAATCATACAAGTGTTCGGCTTTCAATTATCAAACTTAAAAAAATATTGTCTTGCAGGGTACGAGGCACTATTTGACAGCAATTTGAAAACTACTAGAATTTTAATTTTTATGTGGATGTGTCTGTCAATTTATGCCAATCATTTATAGTGAGTTGAAGCTCGGTGTGAGCTTAAGGGCTCGGTGGAGCAATGATTTAGAACTTCGGTACCTGGAAATGAAGCTGACAGCCTTTCTTTGCAGGCTATAGACAGAAATGTGTAATCTTGCGCATTTTCAGGGCATTTTCGCTCTTTAAACTCTCATTAGCTCTTTTTAGTGTAACTCGAAGATTCATTCTGACCTGCTTTCAACAAATTTCATACTTGGCCCTTACTTCAAAAAGGATACAAAAAAATTCAATAATATCTGTATTATTTTCATTTCAAATATTTTTAAAAGTGCTTTTTTGTTTGTAAAAGGATTTTTTTTCTGTTGCAGCAATTGATTTACTGAGTATGATGACAAAGGCAATTTAATATGTGTACATTTATATCTGTTCTTCGACGTCTTCAGATCCTTTGCATCATTTTTTTTCATATTAGTTATTGTATTTTATCGGTGTAGCTAGTAGAGTCCGGGTCCCCCAACCTAAAAAATTCAAGGCGTGGAAACTTAGGATTAATCTTGAAAAATCCCAAAAATCCAAATAAATCCTTGAGTCAATAAATATGCAAATGTGAAATACCTTTTAAATCCCTTATGCATTTGATTAATAATTTCGGGATTTAAAAGAAATTTCACATTTGCATATTTATTGACTCAAGGATTTATTTGGATTTTTGGGATTTTTCAAGATTAATCCTAAGTTTCCACGCCTTGAATTTTAAGGGGGAGTTCAGACCTTCCTGGCTACGCCCCAGTTGTTTTTAATATTACGACTAAAATTATTATTATTTATTTGTCGACGTTACCGTCCGGAAGAATTACTATTTATACATGTTTTACTTTTTACATTGATTAGTGATACATTTCACATCACTACGGGTGACGTAGAATCAAGATTCTAATCTTCAAGTCTAGATTTCGATTGAATTCAGGCTCTCGTTTCAATCTTCTGTGGGCGTGACGTGATACATTTCAGGTCCATTCTAACAATATTCCATTCGTGGGTAATCTTGTAGCTCTCGTTCCTATTTCTCCCGCTACACTTCAAGTTCCTGATCCGTTCCTTAATCCAACGTTGCCCAAAATGCCCAATTATGGCTTGATCTCGTACATTAAGCAGTCGAAGTATCTAAACTTCTGAAAAAGAACAAATTTGGAAATGGCTGGATTCGACAGCACATTCAGGGAAAACCAAAATGCTTTTAATAAATCTTAATTCAGTTTAAATTCTGAAATATGTAAACTGTTAGATTAAAACCTTGAAGATCGTCTTGATGATTACCATGATTAAGTGAGAGCAATTAGCCAGCATTAAGTGCAATCTGACGAAGACTATGGATCACAATTGATCTGTGCACCCATAGAAGTAAGCAAGTAAGCAGTATGGAATCAGTTTAGTAGTTTCACTGAAAAAATTAAGCCTCTATGGCTGAAAGGTAGACTGGGCAGATAAATGTAAGAGCTTGGGTTCGGTTCCTAAAAGTTTCTGAATTACAGTCAATTTGAGAAAGTTTTAAAGCAATTTTAAATTTTGACATTAAAGAAACACAAATCTATTCTTACAACGTTCCTGCCCCCCCCCCCCCCCTCCCCCTCCACTGACAATAACTCCACCGAAGAAAATGCCAAGAATGAAAAGGATTTGCCTTTTGTCACTGAAAAATATATGATAGAATCGCACATGACAGGAAAATGGTATTGACTGAGCGTATATGAACCAAAATTCGTCTTCCTTTCACATTCAAAAGGAAATATGAAAGAAAAAAATCTTTTATTTTCATGCTGATTAAGCAAATAAGAATGTTGAAAAGAAAAGAAACTTTGAATATTCGAATAAAGATTTCCTTTCATATTTGAATGATTGTATTCAGATAGAAAAATAATGTACACAAGATGATGATGACGATGATGATGTGATAAGATATATATGTATTTTTTTTTGCTTCCCTTTTGGCTCAATACGAAGCTCATCAGAATGGAAATGCTTATAGTAAGCGTATGTTGATGTAAAAGTATATGCAATGCAATGTTAAAAGCTTTCTGATCTGGAAATGAAGAGCAAGGAAAGGAATCAAGATAAAGAGTATTTTTTTTTGATTTACAATTCAGTCAACCGTAGACAACTTATATATGCTTCTGAGCTCCTGTGCTCTAAATAATTTATTTTCACATTCTTCTTTTCATGATTTGACTTTAGAAATTCATTTTATAATTCATCAGCATTATTTAAATAGTTGAAAGGTATATGAAAAGAATTCCTTATCTGATGAAATGAGAATAGAAGACAAAGGAACAGAAGGATCGATATAGTTTTCTTTGAATACTTTTGATATGACTTGGGGATGCATATTTTGTGACTTGGGAATAGCTAGAATGCAAAGAGTTATATAATAACCGTGAGTATTGTGAAGAGAACTTGTTATCTTGACAGCGCTTTATTTATCAGTTTTAAGATATCGGCTTCAGGTGGGAATCAAACCCACTTCCTCACGAAAGAGGTCTGCAGAATTTTTCTTAACCACCAAGCCTTAAAAATCTTACTTTCGTACTGGCATATTAGCCTACATAAGGTTCGATACCCCAGATTCAAGTAAGGTCTTTAAATTAGTCTTTGTAAATGGCAAGTTAACACAAATATGGCCAAGGAACAATCAATATAGATCGCAATTGAAAGTTTGACAAAATAAGCTCCTAATATTAAAATATCAAGGTCAAAAAAATAACAAATGATTTCATATTAATCATGTACATGACTAATGCTTATATTAAATCAGTGATGGACAACCCATGTTCCGCGGCACACTAGTGTTCCGCAAAAAAATTCAAAAAAAGCCCACGAACAGTTTGTTTTGTGCAGTTTCGGCCATGGCTTAAGTCACCAAGGTGTGTTGTAGCACCAACACTTTATTAGATTGAGAAAAAGATTAAAATATGGTCACGACTTATTCTCTTGAAGCTAATGAAGCTAATCAGTAATATATTTCTTAAGAAATTTATTCAAATGATAATTGAAATTTGATAAGAGTTTAAAATACCTACTTGAGGACTTTACGTACTGACTTCGATCTATTCTTGTTTAATTGTTATTTAAAATGAAAAATTGAGATTTGTAGTAGCGCTAATTAGAGAAGAGAACTGCTCAACATTATCATCAATATTACTTTAAATTCTACTTATTTGTAAATGTTGGTTATCGATGAGAAAGCGTAAGAATGTCGTCGAAGTTCTACAACAAATGTGCTTGAAGCAAGGTCAAAGCTGTGTTAACCCTCTTCTTGCTCCAACCCTGGATTGACCAACAATGACATATTCTTTGACGCTAGAGTCCTGAATATCCCGAACTGCTTAAAGGTTTTTCAAATGCGCCCTAGACAAGAAAGGAAGCAAATAAGTCGTGTTTTTCTTATTACATAACTCTCGCTTTAATGACACGTGCTATCTGCAATAGGATGGCTGTCTGCAAGTATTTACTATACTGTCCGTTAAAAATGGTTCCATGTCAATGTATTTTTACAAATATAGTCATTCAATGACAAATATAGTCATTCATGTACTAATACATGCTGAATTCGTAGAAAATAAACTCAAATTCCACTAAGTATGAATTAAGTATCATTAAGTACTCTTGACCTTGAATCTCAAGAGAGTATAAATTTTTGGTATAAAAACATACAAATTTCAAGAACAATCAGTCATTCCAGAATATTATTTTCTTAAAATTACAAATAATGAAGTTCATAGTTGAGAATATTTTAATATTTTTGATAATAGCAGTTTCAGTTCAAGGTGAAACAATAAGTCAGCATTTTAATACATATCTTCAAAACAAACAAGCTGGCAATGATAATCAATACGATGATGACTGCATAAAGAATACCTTGCAGGTAGACAAATTTGGTGACAAGTCATTGACACAATTTGAATTCGATTTTCTATTTGATTATTCGAGATTTTATTGCTCTGAGCAAAGTGCAATTGAGTATGAGATCAATAGCTACAAATTTTTACATATGCACTTCGGCATCGCTTCTGATGAGATTGCTGTTCCATGTTTGAAGAAAAAGCTTCTTGATTTAGAACCTGGAACAAATTATATCAACGTATCAGCTGAAAACAGCCCAACTTGTAGATTTCAAAAATTCCATGAAGGACTTCCAATGGGCTTGAGGTTTATTTATCAGCAAAACGCAGAAGACACCTTGAAATTTGCCGAAACATGCAGCCAAGTCTCATTGGATGATTATACAAAAATCATCGTAAAATCAGTTTTGGTTACCATCGTTGGCTTTAGTGAGGAACAAAAAGATTTCGAACAGAATAAAGTGATGAGAGAATTTAAAGAATTTAAGACAGCTGGACGCAACTGTATTGTAAAAAAACTTGAAAGTGAATAAATTAAAAATATTTCCAGCTATTGCGGTTGATTAACTATGATTGTTGATTTCTAAGGTACACAAATAAAAATAAAATCACAACCAAAAAATCAATCATGCCGGTTGCTAGCTATACCCCCGAGCAAAAAGATCCCCTCCTACTAGCGAAAATATCATATAAATAATTCAAAAGCCTATCAAAAATATCAAATTCAGAAAATTAAAGTCAAATTCAATAAAAAATGAAAAAATAAAGTTTCAAGTCATAAAAAATTGAAGAAGTTCTCCGAAATTGAATTTCTGACATAAGAAAAGGCTCGTTTGCCAAAAAAAGAGAAAAATCATTCAAAATGTTATTGTTATAAGAGGAAATAAGTCTAAAGTCTGTTGGAAAATGAAGAAATAAAAATAACAGAAAAGAAAACTTTTCAATCCTATCATGAATAGTTTATAAAAGGACGTGGACATCTTGTCAGTCACATAGAGCTTGAAAAACTTTTTTTGTACACAAAAATATATCACACACTACAGTAAAAGATGGGGTCATTCATTGATAATGTCACGCTAATAAATACTTTTTAGACCTCTTTCCTTAATATCCTGAACTGGCAGAAGGTCTCGAAGGATAGAGCTGTCTTTAGACGATCTCTGAACGTGGCAATGGGCCCACGTGCGCCTCAGCCAAGGAAGTGAGTAAGCAAGACCTCTTTCCCCCAAGACGCAGAGCTTCGTCTAGCTTCGCTATTTAAAACATATTTTCTATAGAAAATAATAATTTATAAATTTATCCCCCCCCCCCCCCCTCCAAAAATTGTTCCTTAATAACTGAACAACCCCCAAAACATACGTATCTCAAAGCAAAGATAGAATTAAATAAAATAAAAACTTTTTTTTAACAATTTCAATAAGAAAAGAAGTAAAAAATAAATCCTCGTCATGTTATGCTGCTCTGTAAACCAAATTCAACTGAAACCCTCAAATAAAATAAGCATTGTTGAGGATGCAAGTAGAGGGAACAAAAAAGTTTTTTTCTTTTTTTAAACTCAAATCCAATTTTAGTGAAATGAAATCTATCTGATATTATTATACTTTATATCATCCTCCTGCTCGTTTTGCATCCTTTTCTTCTTATTTTTAACTACTTGAAACTTTATATTTTTTTAACCCGCATGATGTTAGCATCCTTAAATTTTTCTCGTTCATTCTTGACTCGAGAAGTTTGTTCAGAATTATGCATAAAAGATTTTGTTTTGACTGGCGTGGAACGACAAAATGTTGTTGATTTTCTGCAAATCGTTGAGAATTTTTAAAGCTAATATTTGACGTTTTAATAGAATAAAAATTTGGTTTGTTACATTGCAATTGAGAAGTTGACTAATTCAATGTGCAACTGGCGTGTTGCTTACATAAGTTTGAATCTTTGGTAAAACAGGTCTACGTCATCACAAAAGGATGATGTTTATTCATCTTTGAGAGTCAAATCTTAGTAGGATTCGAACTCATGACTCTCAAGTTTCTTAATGTTTGTTCAACCATTGCGCTTCCGAAGGTTATTCGACAATATAGCTAAATGTTATAATTAAACGTTCCATTTGTTATCTTTACACTCTGAAAACTTAGAAATGGAGGCTTGATGAGTTCTAGAGCCAGTTTCGACAGCTCCCAAAGTGTCTTATCCTAGTCACAACCAATTTTTTAACCTTCCACAAAAGCATATTATATTTTTTATCCATTTTAGGACCTTCCACTAAAGCATTTTAGGACAGGATGCCCATAGCAGCCCCAAAGCTGCCCCCTTCATCGATTAAAATGAGTTTCTTGCTATCCAGCTTTGCTCAATAAATAATTTACAAAGAAATTCACTCTATCCACTCAAAAACATCGTCACTTAATCAAAATTCGTCTTCGTTCCCTCATTTGAATACTTAAAGATGTAAACATGGTAAATAAAGTTGTTCATTTCATTTGATTGTTGAACTAAGAACAACAATCTCAACAAAGAGAAAGAATAACAGAAAATTTACTTACTTGGCCTGTATCAGTTTCAAATTTATACAATCGCATTGCAGGGTTATTTGATTGTCCAATGTTTGATTTTCTTGGTGTAATAGATGGAGCAATCATTATCCAACTTACAGGTTTTCCTATTTGCATGAAAAAAGAAGAAGATAAAGGAGACGAAAAGACATGAAAACCACAAACAACAAAATTGTGAATTAAACAGTTTCAAAAGATAAAATAATAGAATCAAGGAGAAAATGAAAAAAGAAAAAGGAAAAGTCCTTAAAATGTTAACGAATTGAACAAACAGATAAAAAGGAACTGCCATTCTAAACTAAAGTAAGTAAGGGATGTGCTGGGTTTTAAAGCGCATTTGTCAAAAGCAGACCTAGTTAACAAAGAGCTTGATCTAGCTTGAAGATATAGCATCAATCTAAATGTTTAATTCACACGCTAGTGTGCAGCCAACAAAGCTTGAGTAGCTCTGCTTTATTCAAATAGAATTATCACTCAGGATCTAAAACTAGGATGTGGTCATGCTTTGTCATTTTGATTAGTTAAGCAGCCTTGAATTTAAATCTGAAGCTTGTCAGCCTGTGGGTAGTACTCTGGTCCAAGTTCGACTTTTGAGCTGAAACTTGGTTTGTTTATCGACACGTTTCGAAAATTTTCGACGAATTTTTAGTTTTTTTCGACACCCTTCAGTTGCTGAGATATCAAGGGTTGAATTTTGAACAAAAAGGCTGATCTACTTCACGTTTTCTACCGGGTCCATATCTTAAAATAAACTTTATTGGGAATGTTATAATTCAACTTGTTAAAAATGGGCTAAGTTTCAGCTCAAAATTCAAACTTGGACCAGAGTACTTCACGCAGGCAGCTTCTTATCTAGAAATAGACAAAATGCCTCAATGCTCTCAATTTTGTAACTTAACATCAGCATAGAAAATTATAAAAAATAAAAAGAATGTGTTGATTGGAATGAACGAATCGGATAAGAATGAAAATGGATATAAGATAAAAAGTGTGTGTATATGCAGATCAAGAGATGAGCACAAGAAAAAAAAGTAAAATCTTACCCATGTCATTGTACACAATTCGAAATGAATCCGAATGTAGATGACCGAAAAATTGTCCCTGAATAATCGATGAATATTTTCGAACCAACCTAAGATATCTTAAATTGTTTTTCTCCGAATACGTTGTGTGACCATTCGGTATGATACCAATTTGCCTTTCATCAGAGCCCGGAGGCATGTGACCTACAATATATACCTGAAATGAGAAAGAGAAAAGGGGAAAAAAAAAATTGGATGAGAGATTTGCACAACAACAACAACAAAAATTCTTATCGGAATTAAAGAAAATGAAAAAAAGGACGAAATGAATCTTTTTCGATTAAAAGAAGAAAGTGTAGGAGGCTAGTTCTGTTGGGATGTGAGCAAACGTTTGTGAATAAGAAGATTTAAATTTAAGGCACAATGAATCTTGTACTCATAAAAAAATAAGAACATATTTACATCCCAAACACAAAAACATGGTCAACATTATATAAAGAAACCGGAAATATGAGGAGATTCTTGTGTAAAAATCAATTAAGGAACTTTTCCTTGTTTTCTTATCAATTTCAGTTTTAGTTCTCATAAACTTGCGGGTTGTGATGTAAAATGGAAAGATAAATTAATTAGTAATGATGATATGATAGAAATATGGTCAGAATATTTTCAACTTGATTGATTTCGGTTTATGAACTCTTAAGAGTTTTGAGGTGAATGACATAATGAGTTGATGCTTAATTTACAGATGAGAATGAGATTTTATGGCATTTTTGAAGGATCTATGAAGCACAATAGAAGAGGATCTGGTAAGATCTAAAAAGTTGAAAAAATGATGCTGGTTTCTAGGGATATCCGGTGTACTCTAAACTAGTCACAGTAAAATTTATAATATAAAATCCCGATTCCATGACTGACTCTGTGGATATGGCTCGAAGTGCATATCTGCAGTAGATAGGCCTGAGCATAGGGGCTGTTCACTTATTACGTAACGCGAAAAAATGACTTCTTAGACCCCCCCCCCGCCCCTCGTAACAAAATTTGTATGAAAAAAAAATTTCCTTGTTTGAACCGTAACAAAATCTTAGACCCCCCTCCCCCCCTAAAAGCGTTACGTAATAAGTGAATGGCCCCATAGGGCTTGCGTTGATCTGGTTATATGTGTATGACGGATAGCCGAAGTGAGATAAGCAGGGAACTCTGATCAAGTGGTCATAGATTGCCTCTTTTGAGGTTGTGGGTTCGATTCTCACCGAACCCGACTTGTTTTACATAAGCATACACATACAGCAGATATAGCGAGAGATATATACTCTAGGACGAAAGTCGTGTGAAGCCAATAATTTGGGGTGTGTTGACAAGGTGGGTGTCAGGTGGGAATCTAGTGTAAGGGGATAGTTGGTCCGAGTTTGAGAAGGTTTGTGAAGCCATGTGAAGTTTTGTGAAGCAATTTGAAATGTTTTTGTAAGAATAAATTTAATCCACGTTTGAGCAATTTTGTGAAGTTTTGTCGTAGGTTCGCCCTATCATTGATAATTGAAAAATCATCGCAGTAATCATTGAAATATTGTCGATTTCATAAAATTTCGGTTTTAATTGAAACGTTGTTTGAATTAGTGATTGTGAACAGTCTACCCATTTTAAAAGAACTAAGTGCTGTATTTTTAACGAACCACTCTCTTGTTTTAATCTCTTACACGAAGATTCCCACAATGCTGACGACATTCCACAATTCGGTAAGTCTTTCTACCAAAAACCATCAATATAGAAATTACAACATCAATGTAAGTCATCATTTCCAATAAATCCACTCCGATCAAATGTTAATCAAATAACACGATATGAAAAAAGTAAATTTTCCGGAATTACCAATTTATAGTCAATCGAAATCGAATTTACAACCAATCTAAAGTCATTATGTGTTGCGACACAATGGGAAATAAGTCAGAATAGGAAGAAGACCACAAGGAAATTGTATTATTGATTATAGCTGTAATGTGATTTATATTTTACAGTGGCTGAGGCAATGGTCTTCAGTTCTATTTTCTTCTTTAAAAGTCGGTCTATGATAACTGATAAAAAGAAGAACAAAGAAATGAAATGAAATTTGCGTCTAGCACATTTTATTTGGGGTAGCTTTCAAGACCATCCCTTTGTGTGGTCGTCAATAAATTTTCTTTTATTCAAACAACTTAAAATGGATGGGCGAGTACGAAAAAAATAGCGGAAGAAGAATAGACAAAAACCCAACAGCACAAAAAAGAATGAGAAATCAAATTTAACTTAACATCATTCCGACACTGCTACTATCATTGTTAAATAACCGCGATTAGGGATGTAAAATTCCACACATTTTACCATAAGCAAAAATGCCTTTATTGATTTTCGATTTCTTGAAATTCCTCCCTCGCACTTTCACTGCTTTCCTTTTGCCGATTCCTTTCCCCATCTTTTTCTTTATTTGATTTCAATGTCACATTTCTTTTTTTGATTCCTTTCTTGTTAACATTGAAAATGTACCACTCAGTGATTTGTTGTGCCTTCACTTTGAGCATTTTACTCTGCATGTTTTTTTGAGAATGAGTGAGCTTTTAGGGTTGTTTTGGATTGATGGATTTTGTTGACGGAATTTTTTGAATGTTTAAGAACTCGATTCCATCATAATAGATAACTGGCAGTTTAGAAACTTTGAATGAAGATGTATAGGGCCACATTTGACTTCTTTGTAGTGCCATAGTCTGGAATTTGGCATCAAGCTTATATTAAACTAGTTCCGTGTTGAATTACATGGTCTTAGATGTCTTTTTGAGTTATTGCAAGATGCTGATATTATTAAAGTTTTCCGTGCAAATCGCTTTATATTGACTGGACATGTGTTTAGACGTCCACAAGATGCTTCAGTACTAAGAGTGACTGTTGCAGACTTAATAGATGGCAAGTGATCCAGAGAAAGACCAAAGAACACCTGGATTGGATGTGTTGATAAGAACGCTTGAGTCCTTAATATCCCCAACTGGCAGCAGGTATCATATGATAGGGCTGTCTTTAGACGATCTCTGAACGAAGCATTGGGCCCACGTGCGCTTCAGCAATGGAAGTAGCAAGTAAGTAAGATGTTTTTATTGCACCCTGAGACATGAGCACAGCTACTTTCAGCACATTATAACATTTAAATGAAGGTCTTTTGCATTATAATACCATTGAAAGGGATGGAACTGAATCTGAACATTTGTCAGCTTTAGAATAAGTAATTACTTAATCAATGAATACATAGCTTCATTATCTTATTATTGAATGATTAAGAAAGTAAATCCCATCAAAATTGGTAAGTGTAGACAGATTCTTCAAGTGGCAAACCGAAGACCTTTTTTTTTGAACAAAGAATTTTTTTTCCATGCAAAATGAACAGACATAAAAGAAGATAAAATTCCTTTCTCACTTCAGACTTAATTTTCCTTTTGAGACTCAATCTTTTGTTCATTTTTTTTCAATTAAAACTTTTCATTCTAAATAGCAATTAAAAGTTTTCTTTAAAAAGGCACGTGTACAGCTTAAAACTTAGTCAGTCTTAAAACTTTTTTCAATCCCAATGAAAACGGAAAATGCACCTTAAGCATTTTCAAAATATAAAAAAAGCTTCTTTTACTATTTTTTCATCCTCATAGTGATGATAAAAGCTTTTCTTTTTCAAAAATCAAGAGTCTTTTTCCTTTATTTCACTCAAAAGAGAACCCAGCACCGCCATCATCATCCAATTGAGTACGACGATGAAATTTTATCATGTACTTAAGGCACACGAAATTCCTTTTTTGCTTTCTTGTATACATGCTGATGTATTTGATGGGGATGTCAACTCGGTTAAAAAATTGAAGATTAGATCATGGCAGGGGGAGGATTTAAAACTGTCTTATAGATAAAGCAGAGCTCGAAGTCGATGAAATTTTGTATGGAGTCAACTTTGCCATACAAAATCGATAAAAATCTCGAGTCGACTTCGAGTTCTGAGATAAAGGCTAAGATTTATCAATTAAAAATCTTGAAAAATTTAAGAGATTTTAGTTCAAACTCAACTTATTCCCATTATCCACTAGTCATGCTTCATCTAAATACTCTCAAGTTTTGAGGTTAGGAACATCATCCTGATGAGATTAAGTTAGACTAGCTTTTAAGCCTACACGGGGCAACATGCTCAAAATAATGGTCCATAAGTGCACATGCATCATTTATTTTGACAACTGGAAGTTCCTTATATCTTACTTCCCCCTTGTACATAGAACATTCTGTATATCCATTATATCTCAATCCATTTCTAAATATTCACCGACATGTCAAGATACGTGTGTGTATATAGCAGCATATACATAAAGTTCGCGATATGCGAATTGTTAAATTGAAGAAAAGAGACGATGCTTTTTTTCCATTCTCGTTCTTGTGTAAATTGGAATGGATGAGATATTGGAAAATGATGTTAGTGAAATAGCATGAAATTGATAATGATTTGACTCTGATTTTTTTTGCGTTTGCTGCCTTTTCTTTTTGCATTAAATGTTCAGTCATACGAAATGTTCGATATTATTGCCATTATTATTACATTCATTCGAGTATGAGTCGCTCGGAGGAGAGAAAGGCAATCAAAGGGATGAAAATGTGCTAATGCTTTCAAATATCAGTTAAATTACGTACATGCCACAATGAGAATAGCAGCGAGAATGAAAAAAAAATCGATTTTTGCCTTCTCAGTTGCTGTTGCCGTTTTCTCGTTTCCTTATTTATTTGATATGAATGGAATACAAAGATTTTCAGCTAACAAAGCAATGGGGAAAATTCTTTGATATCATGAGAAGCTTTCACTTCGTTTATTGAATGAACACTTTTTTTGTGCCTTTAAGGTTGAATTTCTGATATTTTTGTCAAAGTTATCAATTATGTTAGCACATTGAGGTGTTATATACTTCTATTGAATTTGGTAATGACGTTATAGTGATATTTAGTGAAAATTGAGCAATCGGAAAATTGTTCCTAGAAAAGTTGCAATTATCTTCATTAACTTGCCAAGCTATATAATTATTAAACGTTTATAAGTTGACAAACTATTATTAAATTCAGAGTTGACATGATAAAGACGACAGCAGTGGTGTAGCCAAGGAGAGGGGGTATCAGCTTTATTAAATCCTAAAACCTTAGTTCACTAATTGTATTGTTCTTTAAAAACAAAATATTCACCTAGATAACTTAGCCCTAACCTTATAATTAATTAAGAACCAGAAAAAGTCAGACTTTTTTTTTCAAAAGAACTTTTATTTCCTCATTTAAAGTTAACATCATTTTTCACTCGAATGTAATGTTCTGCAACCTCATTGTTATGATAAAAACTCCAAAGAGCACTTATAGGCTATTATTATCATATCCTTTGACAAGCAGAATCAATTATAATTCATGCATGCTCTTATTAAACGAATATTGAATGGAAATTCAATTAAATATACATTATTATTCATTTGATCAAGCCGAAATTAAGCCTTTAATAAATTTTCATCATTTTTTTTTAAACACACTGACAGGTTGAAAAGCCTGGGATTATTCTATGAATTATATTATCGACATATTAAAGTCAATTGAAAATTAAATTCAATTTTCGTACTGCATTTATTTTGGAGGTAGATAGAGGGATAAGGTGATAAAGGTAAAGTGCTGTAATGTCGTGAGCATTGTACGAATCCTTGTCATATTGACAACATGTTATGTAATGGCTTGAGAGATCGGTATCCGGTGGGAATCGAACCCACGTCGTCACAGAGCGTTATAGATATTCAATCTGTTATCTAACCACTCGACCTAGAGAGGTCTTACTCTCATACTGGCAGAATCGCCTATATGTAACTTGATACCCTAAAATGTAGTGCTGTCCAAACTGTGTGCCGAAGAAATTTTTTGGAAATGACACGAGCCGCATGCTGTGTGTGGTCATGACCCCTAAGATTTGCCGTGGTTCAAAAAGTTTCGATAACAGTTCCCTAGATTCTATTCTAATCAAATAGCACACCAGCTAGTCTAACACTCAACTGGTGCAATTACTTCTAATCTTTTTTACGCTGAAATAGAAGAAGCGAATACTCAAGGATAGAAGTGGGATATTCCCAATGATAGAACAGAAGTGTACCTTAATGTTTGATACCAATTACTTCCTTCCCCACAAATACGAAACTGAAGGTTCAAATGTCGAGAATTTAAAGAAGATGTATTCACCAAAAGTCACTAAAATTCCTTTTGTAAATATCACATGCCATCTTTTAAAGCTCAAAACATAAATTTTAAAATAATCTTGAATAATTTAATAGCTAGAAACAGATTTTCTCCTCAAAAAAATTCCCCAACAGAGCTTTAATAAACAACTTGAATTTTTTTTTTATCATCCTGCAATCTATCATTCAAGCTAAGTGGTATGAAGAAGCGATTACAATCAGAGTCTAAAAATGGGAATGAAATTTGTATTCAAAAGGTCACTGTTTGCGTAAAAATTCCACCCTCAAAAAAGAAAGAAAGGGTCTAGCGGAAAAAAATGTTAAAAAAGAATTGAGGAAGGAAAGGAAAAAAAAGTTTCAAAATCTTTTCAGCATAAAGAGTAAGTATCATGGAATTTAATATAAATCTGTTTATGCGTCGTCGATATGATGACGGTCGGTAATGTAAATTTAAAGATGGTATATTTATATGGTTTACTTACAGTTTCCTTATTTCTAGTCGATTTTGCGAGAACCTCCTCGAGCCATTCCCACTGTTTCTCTGACTCATGCGACACAGATAACGCACTCACGACACCGCCACTGTCAGCGCCATTTTGATAATTCACATCACTATTTGAGTGTGAATAGTATCTATCTTTATTATATCTATTATAATTATTGTTATTATTATGCTCCTCATTATCGTGATGATAATGCTTCCGATGATATCCCATGTTGTACTGCTGCTGTCCTCCTCCGCCACTTGGTAGCACAATTGAGCCATCGGGTCGTTGCCTAATTGCCGATGAATGTGATTGAGAATATTTGAAATCGTGCCTCATGAAATTCGTATTTAATACAATGATCCTTAGACGACTTTTTGTCTGTTCAATTGTGTAGTATCCGCCTGAAAATAGATATTATAGATAATGAGCATTAGACATTCAGATCAAATTGAAGGAACTTGTTATTATCATTATTATCTCCCATCACATAGTTTCAGTATAATTAAATCAATTTTCAATTTTCTCCGTTCCATTCTATCTGCTGCTACTGCTGCTCCGTTTTCAATTCTATCAGATATATCAATAAGGATTCTTCACTATAATTTGATATAATAACCATAATCATAATCATTTCTATGACTTCTTTAAAAGCGCATAGATTGCAGTAAAAATCATTGAGATACGGCTGAGTATGAAATTTCATTGGATTCGATAAGCTTCATGCAAGGATATTGAACTTTTTATATTAATAACATTGATCTGGGTTTCAGGTAGATTCTAGTAAATCTGAGCTGATCGAGAAGCACTCTTCATTTAATCAAAGATCAGAGTCAATGGCTATTAGGGTTACTCTCCTCAAAATACAGTAAGACTTTTATTTTAGGTACCTTAGACTTCGGCTTAAAAACATAATTGGCATTTGAATTTAAGTAAAGCACTCAAGCACCAAAATCGAGAAGCACTCTTCATTTAATCAAAGATCAGAGTCAATGGCTATTAGGGTTACTCTCCTCAAAATACAGTAAGACTTTTATTTTAGGTACCTTAGACTTCGGCTTAAAGACATAATTGGCATTTGAATTTAAGTAAAGCACTCAAGCACCAAAATCGAGAAGCACTCTTCATTTAATCAAAGATCAGAGTCAAAGGCTATTAGGGTTACTCTCCTCAAAATACAGTAAGACTTTTATTTTAGGTACCTTAGACTTCGGCTTAAAGATATAATTGGTATTTGAATTTAAGTAAAGCACTCAAGCACCAAAATCGAGAAGCACTCTTCATTTAATCAAAGATCAGAGTCAATGGCTATTAGGGTTACTCTCCTCAAAATACAGTAAGACTTTTATTTTAGGTACCTTAGACTTCGGCTTAAAGACATAATTGGCATTTGAATTTAAGTAAAGCACTCAAGCACCAAAATCGAGAAGCACTCTTCATTTAATCAAAGATCAGAGTCAAAGGCTATTAGGGTTACTCTCCTCAAAATACAGTAAAACTTTTATTTTAGGTACCTTAGACTTCGGCTTAAAGACATAATTGGCATTTGAATTTAAGTAAAGCACTCAAGCACCAAAATCGAGAAGCACTCTTCATTTAATCAAAGATCAGAGTCAATGGCTATTAGGGTTACTCTCCTTAAAATACAGTAAGACTTTTATTTTAGGTACCTTAGACTTCGGCTTAAAGACAAAATTGGCATTTGAATTTAAGTAAAGCACTCAAGCACCAAAATCGAGAAGCACTCTTCATTTAATCAAAGATCAGAGTCAAAGGCTATTAGGGTTACTCTCCCCAAAATACAGTAAGACTTTTATTTTAGGTACCTTAGACTTCGGCTTAAAGATATAATTGGTATTTGAATTTAAGTAAAGCACTCAAGCACCAAAATCGAGAAGCACTCTTCATTTAATCAAAGATCAGAGTCAATGGCTATTAGGGTTACTCTCCTCAAAATACAGTAAGACTTTTATTTTAGGTACCTTAGACTTCGGCTTAAAGACATAATTGGCATTTGAATTTAAGTAAAGCACTCAAGCACCAAAATCGAGAAGCACTCTTCATTTAATCAAAGATCAGAGTCAATGGCTATTAGGGTTACTCTCCTTAAAATACAGTAAGACTTTTATTTTAGGTACCTTAGACTTCGGCTTAAAGACATAATTGGCATTTGAATTTAAGTAAAGCACTCAAGCACCAAAATCGAGAAGCACTCTTCATTTAATCAAAGATCAGAGTCAAAGGCTATTAGGGTTACTCTCCTCAAAATACAGTAAGACTTTTATTTTAGGTACCTTAGACTTCGGCTTAAAGACAAAATTGGCATTTGAATTTAAGTAAAGCACTCAAGCACCAAAAGAGATTAAGCTCTTCTTCATAACCTCAAACACTTAATTAGATTCATAAGAAAAGATGGCTAAAAATAATAATTAAAGGATTACAAAAAGAAAATCATCTTAAAAATCCACCGATTTCGAATAAATCTCACTTAATTACTAAAGTTTTCCAATTTAACTTTGAATCGATGCTTTACACAAAACTTTATTGAATTGCAATTAAATTTCGATTGCTTTTAATTTCTAATTGATTTGAAAATCTTCAACTTCTTAGTTTTAATGCCATATAATCCAAAGTATTAGTATGATTGAGATACAAGAGTTATGTTTGAAACTTTAATGACTTTTAATTTTTAATGCCAAGAAGCTTTAGTGAGTTTTTTACTAAATGTTGCAAGTCATAAGCTACTAAGTTGAAGAGTAATATTCGGTTGAGAGCGGCGATCTTCTAATCCAGTGCTGCTGAAACTATGCTCTGTGGAGCAAGATATCAGGAGCAGCTACTGATCCTTAAAAAGATGAGTAGATGTTCTACTGTTTGATGGCCTAAATAGTTTGAGCTTAGCTCTTGGCTTATAATTTACCCGAATAGCACAAGTCAGTAAATCGAATAGAAATCCGGTGTCAAGCCTGTGTGACTCTGGCATAGGCTGACTTTAAGTCACACCAGCTTGGTACCGGATTTCAAATCGATTGTCCGACTAGTGCTATTCAGGATATACTTACAAGACAGTTTTACTGTTTCGAAGTCTATAAAGTTTAAGAATCAATGCTCCAACCGCTTCTTTGTATTTATATAAATCTGTTCTCAGTGAAAAGTGAACTTCTAACAATCAATATAAGATTTTCCTGCTCTATTTTCATCACAAAGTTCGAGCATCCTTCCCTAAAACAATAGTCTGTATAAAATCGCATTAAAGATTCTACAATCTACATCAGAACATCCTTTTCTAGCCTCATTAATATTTTATAACAACAAGATACTGGTATCAGCTTCGAAAGTGAAACAGCCTCGAAATGATCCCAGACCAAAAAGGAAAAGAAGGCCAAAAGAATTATCAGACATAAAGGAAATACTGCAATCATTATTTCACGCATTAATAAGTTCATGTTCCGATGAAATAAAATTATAATCATCATTATATTATGCTTCAATGATCTTATTAAATTGGAAAATAGCAAAAGAAAAAAAAAGGAGGAAAGACTTTCATGACCCTTCAATGAATTCCTTATCTTTATCGTACTATTTTCCATTTTCTTCTTCATTCTTTCTTGTCTTCCTGCTTTTTTGCACCCTCCTTAAAATAATTTTTTTATTTTTAAAGTAAAGAGTGGAAAGGAAGTGAATTTGAAGGAGTCCTCAATGGGGTATTAGGAAATCAATATCCGGTATATTAATAGCAAAAGGTTTTATACTGTAAATATCAATTACAGATAACATTATGAATAGTTCATCTTAGGGTAAGCATTATTTATGTAATTTTATATTGAATATTTAAATAAAACATTGTTGATAGGTCATGACAGGTTGTGCCGATGGCTACTAGCATTATGTAACGGAATTAAACTGATTCGTTCATAACAGCTAATGAACTTTAAAGCTACATAGAACTTACAGGACACAACAATGCAATCATAAATTAAAAAAATGTTTATAAAAAGCATAAAATTCCATTCGTCAATAAAGTCAGCCAACAATTTTATTATAAACTTAATTAAAAATTCCACGAAGGCTCCACCTTATTGAAATGTAATAATTCTATGGAAATGGAAGCGATCGTTTCATTTTTTATATGACAAACTTATAAATAGATTCTATCGACAGAATGAGAAACATTATTAAATATTTTACTGTATTTTCTTTTAACGATCTGAAAGATATGTCATTCAATCTTCAATATTCTATTCATGGGAATGTAATTAAAATAGAAATTTTTTGTTAATAATGTGTAGACACTGAGAGGAACTTGGATTCTCTAGTAGAATAGCAACCAAGATCAAATCAAAGCTTCAAAGCTCTACATTTTGTATAAATTCATTTTTAGAACTTGCATTATTTATTATAAGCTTGGTCGATTTTCTATTTCTCCAATTTCAGCTACAAAGCTGATTAATTGACCTTAATACTGTCTAGCATGAGTAGGTATAGTGATGCAACCAGAGTTTTTGCCCGGAAACCTGTTCAAAAATTCTAAAAAAAGAGCGCAAATTTATGTATTCCTTCATCACTTAGCGGCAGATTATTGACCTAGTCAGTATGCAATACGGTTGTCAATTGATCAAACCAAAGGCGTACTTATGGAATATAAATAAAATTAATGTGAGACTAAGCTAGGGTAGCCCTAGGAACTATGCCCTGAAATAATTCTGACCCCCCGCCCTCACATGTTTTAACCACGCCTCTGATTTGATAAGTTGAATGCTGTTAAAAACATCCAACTGAATTGCATACTGATTAGGTCATTAAAATATGAAAAATTAATTTTCATCCCCATTACATAAAAACAATTTAACTCTTTAATAATATAAACAAAATTAAATCAATCATTACGAATATAATCAAAACAATGTAATCACTGATTAACGCGACATTCAGATATGCACACAATGTTGCACTAATTGCATCCCAAAAATTAAATTGATTTCTTTTTTCTCCCAGTGTTTTTCTGCATAAGCAGCTTGTAGCTTCTATAGAACTCTCCACGAATTTCAAACAAATAATAAAAACGAGAATGAAATGTAAAGAATTTTATCAACGATAATTTTGTAAATTTTCTGCGTCTATAAGCTCTCGTTTTCGTACAACATTCGCGGAAGTGAATATATAAATTTTTTATTTTTGTGTGCATATAATAAAAGAGGCAAAAAATGTATATTTTATGTATACATTCCAAATACAGATTTTTTATTCCTATTCATACGGCAGCAGATAGAAGGAGATGGAAGGAGATGTTGTGTAAATATAAATTATGGATGCAAATATATCCTCATTATCTTTTCAAAATGTCTATTGAAATTAGCCCACAGCGTCTGCTTAAATTAATAAAGTAGATACAAATCGCAGCACAGCCAATGACATTTAGCGTGGGAGGTAAGGGCTTTATGAAGTAATGGTTCATCAGGAAGCTTGAGATCCAACCCCTCCTCCTTTGACTGGATGAAATGGACAACAGTTGAACTCCTCATACTGGATCCCCCCCAAATACAATTCAAACTCACCTATTCTAAATGTTTGCACTGCTTCTGGTGGCAACCACGTTTTCCAAATGTTGCTTAAATTCGCGAGAAAATTTTTGTAATCTTTATAGTCGCTATTTTGAACATCCTCATGTCCCAGTACTGGAAATACAAATTGCGATGGAAATGTTCGTCCTAATAAGTCTGTGATGTTCCTGAGGAGATCCAAACGATTTCCCTCTGATAAGCGTTTAGCAGAATGTGATAGGCCGTCTCTGTATAGAAATGAGGATAGAAAAGAGAATTTGTTAGAATGGAAATGAGAGGAAGGTATAGAACAAATTAGTTCCGTTTCTTTTTAATTTAAAAACACAAACTCGTATGGTAAATATTTTTTTCTTTGAATATTTCTTTTCTCGCTGTCTTTTGCTTTCTTAGGATACAAAATTTACATTAGAAAATTCTTTTAAAAGAATTCCTTTTTGATGTTATCAGGCGGAGATGGAAAAATGACTTTGTCGGTGCTTTGTGGTTGATTTTGAATTTAATTAATGTTTAATTCTCAATTTTACTCGCATTTGTAGTAGCTTTTGTGACTGTTGGTCTTCAGTGAGCTGAAATCAGGAGCTAGTAGCTGGTATCAAGTAGCTTTTGTCAAGTAGCTAGTATCAAGTAGCTATTGTCAAGTAGCTAGTATCGAGGAACTAGTATCAAGTAGCTAGTAGGTAGTATCAAGTAGCTTTTGTCAAGTAGCTATTATCTAGTAGCTAGTATCAAGTAGCTAGTGAGACTAGTAGCTAGGAGCAAGTTAGTATTGCTAATAGCTATTTATTGTAGTTTGTGTATTTCGATGCCAAATGACAGCAACGATAGGTTGGTTTGAGATTCAACAATACAACAAAAAAATCATTTCAGACACACGAAATTGTCCATATACTTAGTTCTTTAAACACAATCCTTTATGTCTGAATTATTTTAAAGTGATAAATTAATAATACAATACTGATTAATTGCTTCAAAAATTCACATTAGTCCCTCAATCATTCATGAATTATTTTGCGATAACAATTTACAAAAATACATCTCCATATGACTTTACAACCCACTCAATTCCTTCGAGAATAAAAAGCAAATTCGATTCGGAAATAAATCAAGAAGAAAACTGCATTAAATGTAGGCCGTGTGCTATATTTATTCGAACTTTTGACATACATTTTGATTTTATTCATTCAATCTTTCAGTTAACATCCTCGTTATATTAGCAACTGGAGACGACATTGATTGATTGATTATATTAGCAACCAGAATTGAGAAATAGAAAATTATATCCTTCAATGTCAATTTGCTAGTCTGAAGCCAAAGTGGTTAGCAGTTTGAATCCAAGGACTTTTGCCTTTTAATTAGCAGTCCTTCTTCAATTAAATGGAGTTGTCTCTAACTATGGATTAGTATTCAAAAGCTGATTGACACCAACTCTGATTATCTTTCAATTTTCCTTCATTCTTACCATAATCTTGGCCGTGCTTAACCACCCATGTTATTGAAAAAATCAATACAGAGACTTTTCGAATTATTGTAATTTGTGCCTTTCCAATCCCATCCATTCTCAAAATGCTAAAGAGAACTCATTTATAAAAATCAGTTTGTAAGCAGCATTTAGGCAAAAAGTCAGAATGGAAAGAAAAAGGACTTACGAAACTATGCGGTGAATGACTAAATACTTAAATATATATTGAGGGTAGTTAAGAAGAAAAAGACGAGAAAGGAAAGAAATGTTAAAAAGCTTCATTTTCCCCCATCTTCCTTCTTTATGCTTCATTTTCCTTCTTTCAATGATTTGTTCACAATTAGCATAAATTTCCTTAAATTTTACTCAATTCAACACAACAACAAAATGTTGTAAAAAAAGAAAGGAGAGAAATCACGGAGAATACTTGAATTGGATGAGGCTGGCAGGGAAAATAAGCGAGACTCGAGGCAGGGCAATAAAGTTGAAGAATAAGAAAAGTTGATGGCAAGCTCAAGGTGAATTGGGGTTTAAAGCGCAATATCCGACATTACTAAAGTGATTCTTAAGCTGAGATTCATGTGAATAGTGCCATCAAAGTGTTTCGGGATTGGATTTGTATGGAGGAGGAAACTTAAGGATAAGAAATTACTAAGAATGTTGAATCAAAACTTATTCACATTGTATTGTTCCCCTCTTAGATTTAGAGCTGTAAACCACTTGGTGTAGTATACTCTTTATTTTGAATGTGCAGCGATGAAAGAGCGAAGTCTAATATTTGGTCCTAAACATGTGAATGATCTAATCCATAAACTGAGCTCACTTGAGTCCTCATCATGTTATGTAAATCTTTAACTGAGCCCTTAGCTCTTTGAATAATCATCAGAGACCCATCTCTCAATGTTGTCAAAATGACAAAAATTCACACAAAACTCACGTCCTTACAAACAGATTTTTAATTCAGACAAAACAACATTTATCCTTCTTAACATTCAAAATCCTAGCTAAAATTGAATGTAAAAGAATACGAAAGAAAAATTTTATTTCCATTCTGCTTACATTAATGATGATTGATTAAAAAGGAATTTTATTCATGAAAATCATGTAATTTCTTCATCTTATTTCGTACTTATTCTGTTAATCTGATTTCAAGTAGTGGGAGAAAAAAGATGTCGGGCCTGCTTACAGGTGTGGGTGGATTTTAAATTTTAAGTAACAATGCATGTAAATTCTCCCTTCAATCTTAATTAAGATGAAGAAACATTTCAATGAATTGATTTATTTTTATTGATTGTCGTAAATCTGTGAATTTGAATGGGGGTGATGTTGTGAGCAGAGGCTGTATTGAAGAAGTTTAGACTGTATTGAGTAATTGTTATTTGTATTGAAGCTCAGGTATGAAATCGAACTTCAGGATGTATCTTTATAGACCCCAAAGAATGACAAGTTCCTGCAAAATATGCAAATTACCTATATTTGGAGACCCGATACTCCATTAATGCTTGCAATCTCATTAAAAACTCCAAAAAAATCACTTTTGATTTACTTCATGCTTAAACGACTCCCTTTAGAAAAATAACAGTCCTTCCTATAATGAGACATCCTGGGAATTGTTATTAAAACTTTTTCTTCTCAAACTTTCAATTTATGTCTTCCCAAATTCAATTCTAAGCCAAAATGATAATTAGACTAATTGAATGAAATATTTTTCCAAGAACTTTTCCTTTTTGCTTGAGATGCTCGAGCAAATTATTCATTTCCATCCCCAACTTTCCTCCATTCTCACTTAAAGACTTTGAAAAGAAAACTTTCCAACCGTGACTTTAAAGGGAATGGAAAAAAATATTGAAACTGATGTTGGCAAGGTCGATTGAGGGAAATTTTAATAAATTATTAAAAACTTTTCTTGCTAGCGTATAATTTTAGAAAATTATATTTTTTAACACTCAATTTTGTGTGTCCTTGACAAACAAAAATGCCTTAAAATTGTGTTTGAAACTTTTTGAAGTAAAATTTGACTTTTGAAAGTATGAAGATTTTTAACCTCAACAAATAGAAAAGTTGAGTATAGTCAATTCATAATGACAGTGAGCTATGATTGGATGTAATTTCAGTAGCAGCTTGAATGTGACTGAGTCTAGACATGTAATGAATCAATTAAGTTTTTATGAATTTTGAAAATTGCTGCAGCTTGTAGATATCAATTGTTAAAGTCAAATGGCATGCAATTACTGTAACTTGACCCAAGGGTATAGACATAAAATACTCTTTAAGGTTCAGCATGTTTTAGATTGACTCTTCCCGCATTAAGCAAGACAGTCTGAGTCAAGCTCTGTTCTATATAAACTAGAAAGGAAACAAAGTTGAGTCCAATCGAGTCTTTAGCTTTAGAAAACACTTAAAAAACGGGATTCTAAATTCATCTGTCAACAAAAAAAAACCTTTGCTTCGTCCTTGAAAGGAAAGACATGAATATGAGCTATCAGCAGACTCTCAAAATTAGTAACAAACTTCCTAAAACTCATTGGTCCTTAATAACATGTTGAGATAATCATTTAATGAATCCAAAATCCCATGCTATAGAATAAGAAGACAAGCTTGTTGTAAACATTAAGTAGCTATGACAGCAAGTGAAAGCATTAATTCCATGAGATACAAAAAAACTTTTATCACACTTAATCTCAATTAAATATTTCTCCTAATGTGATCAAAAAGAATTTTCATATTTTCATCCCAAAATGAAAATGTATTCGTGCTGATAAAAGTGATTAACTTGGGCTTGACATGTTTAAAGCATAAAAGAGTTGTATCTCTTAAAGAGTATATAAACATTAATGTTGTGTTAACCTTTACGACTCATGAATATTTCTTTTATTCCTTCTATCGTCTTTACACTCATCATTTTATTTTCATATCGACTTATCAGATTTTCGCATACAAAAAGAAGGAAGAAGACTTTTAAGGCTTTGATTCATTTCTATTCATTCAAGAGCTTTTAAGCTCTTTCTTTACTTCGTCATGAATAAGATGAGGGAAATTGCTGAAGAGTTTTGAGACTGTGTGTGTTTGTAATATTGAGCGCAGTTTTGATGCTTATGTGGATTTTGATGTTGTGCTAGTAAAGGCTTAGTTTAAAATTTTCAAAAAAGTAAAGCATCGCTTTTCTCAAAAAAAATCTTTACTTAAAGATTAATACAAAGTTAAGCTTCGCTTTAAGATTAGCACAAACTAAAGCCTCGCTTTATGATTATTAAAAAACTAAAAGCTTCGCTTTCAGATGAACACAAAGTAAAGCTTTGCTTTATGATTAATACAAAATAAAGCATCGCTTTTAAATTAAAATGATTTAAAGCTTAGCTTAATGATTAAAACAAATCAATTCCTCGCTTTCAGTTTAACGCAAAGTAAAGCTTCGCTTTAAAATTAATACAAAATAAATCTTCGCTTTAATACCAACACAAGTTAAAGCTTTGCTTTATGATTAAAGTAAAGCTTTGCTTGAAAAAGGTAAATCAATCCTTTAGTATTGCAATGAATAAACCACAGAAAATACCAGACCGCATCTTGTAACTTATAAGTCAGGAAATATTGATGAAAAAGAAGAGGCATAGCAAATGATGATGATAACAAGAATTAACCAAGAAAAGATATAATGAAGGTAGTGGGAGATAGCTATGGAATGAGGAAGAAAGAAAAATATTTACCTTCACTTCTTCGGTTTCTTTCTCTCACCCAACCCTTCATTAACATAAATATTATTATTTTCCA